TAGAAACCTCTGCAAACACACAAGCAGGATGTGAAAAGCTTCCAACAGGCTCAGTGACGCCGCCTCAGCATTGCTCTGAATTTCTGGGATGCTTCCAACCACAATGGAGTAGGTCTCCTGGTCTCTGTTGTCAAAACTACACCCCTTCAAGATATGTGTGTGCTTTAGCCTTCTTAGCCTGCTAGTGGCTAGTCCCATGACCCTGCAGTAACCTCTCCCGACTACTGAAGGCTTCTAGCAGACGACTTTAGCAATTATTCAGGCTTCTACGTGATGATTGAGCCTGATGGGGCTATCGCAGAGGCCCCGTAGCTCTGCTTCTGGTCCGAGGAAAGGGTTATGAAGGAACATTCCAGATTATTGCGGCTGCTCCGTCACCCCGGGAAACGAGCACACACCACAGATTGAAGGCTCCGTGCACAGCCCTCAACAAGTTGTTTTCCTTGTTCTTCTTACGTCGTCCACCCTCTACCCCCGAAAAGGCAACAGTATGCTTTTCCGACAGGCTGCTGAAAATCCCCTCTCAGAGTATACTACCATGTGACATCCCAACAGATCAGCTGAAAGGGATGGTTTGTCAGTCCAAACAAATTCTTAATTCTGCCTCCCCAGGGATGCGTGGGGCAAATTAGGTGTTTGGTGAACAAAGCTCAAGCAGATTTCTTTTTTGCCCGGCGCAGCTGATCCCACCATCTGTTGCGTAGCTGTCAATTTTAATCCAGGCTTATGCGCCCACAACGACTTCGATCCATTGAAAACAGCGGCCCGTGCAGTTTTCAGAAACACTGCTTTCCCAACCGCAAAGCACACAGCAAGAAGGTACTCCGCAAACCTGTTGCGCGCCATAATTTTCTCCAACCCNNCCCCCCCCCCCCCCCCCCCCTATCCAGCACATGTCTGCTGAAGACCCTTGAGTTCTTGCTTCAGCTTCAGTCCTTGGACTTGACGAAGAGCCGCCTCAAAGGCAAGCATAAAAACTAATAACTACATTAATATAGTAATTATGTATGACTATATTCCTTTATTACTATATTGCCATATTACATAGAGGTTTATGGACGTGATCGGCTGAGCCTCTGCGCATTACCTAGTTGTGATACTGCTCCTGCTAACAACGCTGGCTGTGAAGCATCCGAGGTTTCTTCCCTCATGCGTGAAGGACTCTGAGATAGGTAATCTAACGCAGGGTTGCAAGAGGTATGTTTGCTATCTGCTTAGCTTCCTCTTGTTGGTCTCGGGCCTGATGATGTCTGATCCTTTAACTACATACACACACAGGCAAACTGAAGTGTACTAGTGAAAGGCTGTACACCCCCTGAACATTTGAGACCGTAGGCAAAGGTTGCCGTTGCCAGAGCCATCGCTCTTGTACAGTAGCAGGAGATTCAAACAAAACGATGCAAGAGGGCGCTCAGATGAAGTAGCGGAAGTCAATGCTACAAAACGTTGGTACAACAACTCGCCCTCTACACGAGGCCTACTCCTTCAGCCTGAAGCCAGACACCCCAAGCCCTCATAGTGCAGCCCGAGACCATGCCCTGCGACCCCCAGCCAAAAACCTGACTTCCATGTCAAGATCTGCAGCCTTGAAGTATCATCTTGTTGGTATAGGGATTTCCTTAGACCAGCTTATGAGCTATTCGTATGGAAGACAGCATGTCCTGAGCATCTCTTAGATGCCATAGTTACTTAGTGTGTCAAGAGCAATCACAACCCAACGTTTGACGTCCCCACCTGAAATCCTGAGCACAAAGCCCTGCGCAACCCCTACGTTAGCCCTGTTCGGGAAGAACCCCCCTCATTTCAGCTATAGTCTAAACTC